CTTCTTCTTCTTCTTCCTCTTCTTCTTCTTCTTCTTCTTCTTCTTCTTCTTCTTCTTCCTCTTCCTCTTCTTCTTCTTCCTCTTCTTCTTCTTCACGGCCTACGGAACCACGCAAGATGTCCTCTTTCCAAACGGACATCCGCGCGTCCATCACCAAAATCGAAGCCAATATCTCTGGCCTATCCAACCGTGTGACCACTATTGAGCATCAAACCCCGGCAATCACAGTGGTCACGACCACGGCACCCACCTCTACGACCGTGCCCACATCCAAAGCCCTCGAGTCCCAAACCACTACCCCCTCCATCCAGGTAGTCACCACCACCATCCCCACGATCCGTCCCACCTATTCCCAAGTCACCTCCGGGGTTTACCCCGCAATGCCACAGCTCCCCCCCAACTACCTCCTTGAGGACAACAACCAACTCGACTACACCTGCTACGACACCACTCCCCATAACCTCAACTTCAACACCCTCGCCCAGATCGTTCCCCGCGACGGGGAAATCCCCCGTTCCTTTCGATCCGTCGACATCATGTCCTTCTTCGGCCTCCCCCACGAGGACGTTTTCCTCTTCCTAACCCAGCTCCAAAACTCTTTTCACCTCCACCACATGCCCCTTGCCCACTGGCTCCCCATTGCCACCTCCCGCCTCCTCGGCAATGCCGCCAATGGTGGACGGCTGAAGTCAGCAACCGCCCAGTCTCTGGGGGACCACGTCACTCCTTCCTCCAATGGGCCAACCTTCTCACTGCCACCTTCCGCCCCCAGAAAATTGAACAATTCTGCCACCTCCGCCAGACCGATCCCACAGACCGCTTTGTCCAATACGTCCGCTCCCTCCGCCACCACCTCCCCACCACCGTCATTCCCGACTTGCGTTCATCTTCCACATCAAACGAGTGTGCCACAAAGACCTTGCAACCGCCCTCGCCCACGAACCCAACATGCCCCTTTCTGATCTCTTCTCTCGCATGCTTCACCATGATCGACGACTCCACCCCCACCACCAGCTCGCGCCCGCCCCCACCCGCACCCGCTTTTTCCACCACATCACCCCTGAAGACACCACCTCCACCACTTCCTTGGACGAGTTCACCACACCTGACCCCGACGCATCCTTTGATTCACTCGACTCTTCATCCCTCACTTCCGAGGAACTCAATGTCGTCCAATTCATGAGAATGGAGCGCAGAGATCGCAACTCCCGACCACCCTCATCTACCCNNCCCTCCCGCCTCAAGAAACTCACCCCCGAGGAATGCACCTACCTCCAAACAAAAGGGGGTTGCTTCCGTTGTCGCCAATTGGGGCACCAACAAACCAACTGCCCCAACACCGCACAATTCACCCGCCAGCCCGCCTCCACTCGACCCGCAACCTCCGCATCACCGCCCTCGGCAAGCGCGGGTCCCTCCTCATCATGAACACAGTCCCCAGGACATCGACCCGACATCGACAATTCGTCTGCCTCCCCCCTCTCCGGTGACGCCCCCTCCACCGGACGACTCCCAGGCGTCGCAAACGCCTCCCACTGCCGCATACTCCTCTACCTTTCTTCCAAACCCATCCACTGTCACCTTCTTCGATGTTGTTGAGGAACAAGCTCGACACGATCGGCTTGTCCGCTTAGGCAACGAACAACGTCGCCTCAACACCATCATCTCCACCGCCAACTCATCTCGTTTCCACCTCAAATTCATCGCCGCCACCCTTGGTGCGTCTACAACTAAGTTTCGGGCCCTCCTCGACATTGGAGCCACCGGTAACTTCATCACCGACGCGTGTGTCAACAAAGTCGGTCTTACCTCTACCGGCTATGACTCCTCAATCACGATTCGCCTAGGGGACAAAGACACCGCCGTCGTAGTAGACCAGACGGTTCCCGAGACCACCATGACCGTCGGAACCCTCCGCAGTCAAGTCTCGTTCAATGTGATGCACTTGATGTGCGACATCATCTTAGGAACCCCGTGGCTGGACCGCTACATGCCATACGCATTCCACCCCAACTTCCTTCGCCTCACCAACCTCCCTGATACAACCATCGACGTCCCCTATCTCCCATATCCAACCTCCCGAGGCTCCGTCACCCCGCACCAATTCCTCCACGTGGCTCGCCTGAACCCCCACTCTGCCTACTATTGTCTTGTCCTTGATCGCGAAAGTCCCAAGGACTTACTCCCGACGGACAAACCTGATCAAGCCCCCCCCTCCGACCCCGCCATCACCTCAATCCTCGACGAGTTCAAGGACGTTTTTCCTTTTTTTTTTTTTTTTTCCTAAGAAAACTTTGCATGTGGGAAAACCTACTTAATGGGGTGATAAGAGCATCCCCGGTAAGTAGGCCCCTGCGTCGAAGGCTCCATCTATTGGTGGGGAGCTGCACCTGCTGGAAATCGGGTCCAGCGTCCCTGTACAAGATATGATGCGTATGAGCTGGAAATCGGGTCCAGCGTCCCTATTCAGCGATGTGAAGAAATATCATTGTGATGTGTTTAAGCTGGAATTCGGGACCAGCCTCCCTATCCTGTGTTCGCACCTACATCTCAAAAAACAGTCGGGCCATTGATTACTTCCCTGTGTAAGGGAAGGATTGACCTCCAACTGTAATGAACTCTAATTACCTTGTAGGGTGACATAGCAAAATGTGTAAAAGGTAACCACATATGTAGAATCGGGGGAATCGGGGGAGTCGGAAATTACTTCAGGAGACAGCCATCCTAACGACCCCTCAACCCTAACCCAACCCGCCGCTGAGACAGCCCATGCCCCGTCAGCTGTAATCAATAGGGGGCAATCAACCACCCAATCCCCTTGGGGGGTCAATCAATCACCCAACCCCCTTGCGAGGCCAAACATCGGAGCATGGGCGAAAGCAATGCCATGCCGACCTCGCGGGGAGAAAAAATGAATCTTGCCCAAACCTCCGCAGATTCCAACCGAGCCGCCTCCAGGCTGGCGAAGATCGACCGTTGCCGCCATAACAGACGACTCTGACCTTAGTGCTGGTGTGTGCGATCACCATCGCCAGCCTGTCTGCCTCCCCACCCTCCGCACTCGAGACATTGTCGTCGTTGTTGTTGTTGTTGTTGTTGTTGTTGTTGTTGTTGGTGTTGTTGTTCTTGATTGTACTGTCTGCCTCCTCACCCTCCGCCGTGAAGTCGT